AAAGAAACATTGTTTATACGAGACTTAAAACCAACACTTAATGACAATGCTAGCAGTGAAAAGCTGTCACTTTATTAGCTATCACCTTTTGTTTTCGTTGTTGTTTAGTTAGTTACCAGTACCTCGCTTTGTATTTTTGAGTTTTAAATCTTTCGTTTCTTTTTGTAACCGCCACTTCTGAAGATGCGTGCTGTAGCATGGGAAACGTCAAGAAAATTTTAGATTGTTGTTCCAAACCATGTATAGTTCAGGTGTTATGTTTTTTGCCTCTGTTTGCATTTTATTTCTTGTTAAATTGAAATGGCCAAAGAAGAGTGTTTTTAAGTAGATAATAAACTTACACATCGCTTTCCGTTGTATAAACTTGTCTTGTTAATGACTCAACTGCCATCCACTTTACAGGCATCAGTCCCTGCCAAAATACAAAAAAATGCTTAATTTTTTCTTTGCTACTCAAAAAAAAAGCCCCAGTAGGGGGGAGAGAGTCTATTATCCTGCTAGTTTTTGGCCTAAATATCCCGTACCCCATAAATCCAATTTAAAACATTACAAATTTTCCTACTCGATATCTCGGGTTATCTGTTCTATCTATTCCATATAACATGTTATTTTCACATGTAAAAAGATCACCGTTGCTAGGGTAACATAATAAATCACGCCTTTCGCAGTGAAAGTTAGATTGTTTGGTGTTTCATTGGTGTTGATAAAATAAATACGCCGCCGTTGGAAATATAAAATTTCTCTTCGAGCGTTGAAAAATATTTCACGAGTGAGCGTAGCGAACTCGTGAAATATTTTTCAACGCTCGAAGAGAAATTTCCTGTCTTCGCGTGGTCATGTAATACCCTCTTTTCCGTTATTTTTTTTATCTGAATATTCAGTATTTCGAAAACCTTTATGGACCGGAGCAGCTCAAAACAAACGCACATACTAACGACATTTTCTCATAATCGGCGCGTCATGTTAGCACTTCTACAAAAAAAAAAAAAACGTCATGCAGGGTCAAAATATAAACTAGTTATGCAATTCTTTCTCGTGGTATACCACGGAACATTCCCCGCGTCACTTGTACGTTTGTCGGTATACACAAGCCTTTAACGAGAAAATACAAGTGACAAGTTTGACATTCCATTTTATACCATGCCATAGAAAATACAGCCAATCAGAATACGGGAAAATCGTTGTATATTGAACGGTATTACATCTGGCCTTTCCGTCGTGCGCTGCGCGTATGTCGGATTGATTGTGTTGTCCACTGTATTTTTCATGGCATGTTATAAAATAGTTATTCAACGCTCTCTCATGGTATACCATGGGATATCCCACTTGTCACTTATATTTCCTTGGTATACACACTCGTCTAAAGGCTCATGCGTCGAATGTATGCTGATTGGCTATTTTTTCTATGGTATATGGTATTTCACAATTATTCCACAAGCGCGCGTTGCATATGAGATGGTAGATAATTGTTTCATTAAAGACGCCCCCAAAATATAAAAAACTGGACTAAAATAATTTATCAAAGGCCCTAAAAATCACGCGCACGCTTACCGTATTTGTAGAGCGGTGATGGTATGATGACTCATAACCCATGATGGCTAAGTCAATGAAAACTCTCCAGTTTTTAATAGAAAAAAAATTATATTACGCTTTCCGTACCAAGTTTTGGCTCTGGAGTGTTATAGAGAGAGGTAATGAGCATCACAGGGGATTGAGAATTAGGAAGCGAAGTGAATGCGAGATAGGCATTCACTTCGCATGCGTACTTACATTAGATCTTCTAACATAAATTTCCCTTTTCCCCAGATCTCTCGCCATCCCAAAATCAGTAATTTTACAGCGCAGGCCTTCACCAACTAACACGTTCCTCGCAGCCAGATCTCGCTGAATGAGCTGTGTTAAAATTCAAAATAAAGTGTGTTAATATGGTTATGGTTATGAAGGTAAACTAGCTTTTCCGTCAGCATTGTTAGGTCACCTCAAGAGAAATTACCTTCCTTAAAAAGTGACTTGGATGATGTCCCAAATGTTAGCTCAGGGTTATTTCGTTTTTGACCGGGAAAACCATTGGAAGAGATTTCTCTCTTTTTTCTGATGACGTGTTGGAAAAAGAATCACATTTCGATGCAATCGACAACCAGCAAATGGTGTTATTTGCCACTGGAAGCATTCTTAGTGTAAACCGTAATTTAAAGCGTCCCTAGTTTCTGCTTCTTGAAACTAATTTTAAAGTCATGCAGCAAAGGACGCTGGAATACGCTCGTCTTAAAATGAAATAACTTTTAAAACTGTTAAAACTTTTTAAACTTTCACTTGGTTATCCGCGTTTTAAATCAAAAGCTACACTAGGTGACCGTTCTTTTACCTGTGCTGCACCGAAACTTTGGAATGCGCTACCATTTGACATAAGAAGCGCCAGCACTGTTAGTATTTTTAAAGCTAAGCTAAAAACTCACCTTTTCCGTCATGCATTTTTACCGTAGTTGTTTTTATTATTGTAAGTTTACTTTTAATTGTAATTTTAGCTTTTTAATTAGCCTTTTATTCCGTTTTTAATCTTGTCATGCGTATTTGAACGTTTTATGAAATTTGCGCACTATGTTATTATTATTATTATTATTATTATTATTAAAAGGAATACCCGCGAAACATGACTTTCAGCCCTTTAAGTTACGCCCCTCAGTGCCACATATAAAGTTCGCTAGGGGAGTTTTGTCAGGATTCCCCGAATTAAGCCAGATGTTACCGGCCATTTCTAAAGCGTCCAGTCTTTCAACTGTACGACCATCATTGATAATGGATCGCTCGAACTCTTCACCTTTCTCTACTCAAATTTCTGAATGTAGCTTTTTGTCTTGGAGTTTACTTTGCCTTAAAGACATAGACAAGTATCCTAGACATATTAGCAAATTCTCTTGGACAATTTTGTCTAAGTGGGAAAGGCGCGATGAGGTTAACCCTTTGTGAAGCGCCAACCTGTAAGACAAGGTCAGACCACAGGACCATGTAACACTGAAGACACAGGAGACGGCTTATAGTCCTTATCCGAAAAGACTTGAACATCTAATCATTTGCAGAATGGTCAGGCCGGAACTAGTGGGTTATTATAGAATGATGTAAATACTAAGACTGCACTTCTCCTCAGTTATTTTAAGACCCTGAGTGTGTCTGACCCTGATCCGGTCTGGGGCTATTTAAAATTAAAAAAAAGAGTTGAAATAGTACACGTCTGTACTGTAGGTTACGAGTCTGGGGGACAAGAGACCTGGTGAGCTGCGATGAATTCCATCCCCCGAGCGATATCAGATGCGAAGTTGTAAAGTTGTTTTGTTGGTATTTTCTGTGGAACTTCTGCGCTTCTCACGTCGTAATAATCATCTGTTTCTCCTTTGCTTTTCCATATCCCAGAAGATCTCCATGAGGAACAAACTCCAGGATTACAAAAGGCGGCCCTGTGTAAAAAAAATAAAACAATGAATAATAAATGTTATAGGAGGCCCTGTAGGCAAAGTCTGTCGTGTTATTGCAACTTTCCCTGGGAGACTGCCAGAAAAGGGTTACCGGATTGCTCGGCTACTCAGTGTAAGTATTTTAAGCGGTTTTGATTCAATCCAAGGTAATAGGAAACGGATGCAGTGAGCTCGCTCTGGTTTTGTTCAAGAGGTACCACTTTGCACGGAAGATATATGAAATTATTGCTTTTTCTGACAAAAAAATGGTACGAACCTCGAGGCGAAGGCTGGTCGCATAAAATTTTGTTGGGTAATTCCGTCCCGGGCCTAGTTGGTTTACAAAACCTAGGTTGCTCCGATAAATCCGGATCCCTTTTGCGACTGAGGTATAACCAAACATGCAGCAAAGAGAGGCAGCAAAATATCTAACTCTATCTGTTTGTAAAGGGCCTGAAGCAATAGACTACTAGT